AACAATGGTGGATATTCTTAGTAATCCTTAATAGGAAGATTCTCAAAGGATGATATTAGCATAGGACCATGCAAATCAATTGGTGTTAGCTCAAAAAAGTCAATTAATGTGTCTCTGCGTATGGGGTTGAGTCAAAAACCCATGTAGAGTTTTTTTCCCAGAAAGTCGATAAAGAGGATGATTGCCTCTAATTATTCTGTTGTTGACTTAGTAGCATCTGATTCTTCAGGGTCGCTAATTATATGTGGATTCTTGGAGTCTTCCTATTTCGTTATTTAGTTTTTTATCAATTGAGGGGTTTAGATTGCAGATGAACCTTATTGCTTTGATATTATTCATCGCTTCCATCTTTGGCAAAGCAGCAACTGGAATTAGCGGGTAAATAGTTTGGGCCCCATGGGTAGGAGTAGTAAAGAGTTTGGTTCTGGGCATTGAAGGGTAAATAGTTTGGAATTAATGGGTATAAAGTGAGATTTTCTCTTTAATTTGACGTTTCTTGTTGCAACATTCAACATTTCCTTTTGCTCTTTGGCCTTCTGCTCTCAGGTTTGCAACATTCAACATTTCCTTTATTTCTCCTAAGTTTAGCCAAAAATAAATAGTACTTAAGAAGAAAACGAATATAAATAATTTTTACATTGTTAGTTTATTTTAACCTATGATATCATGTTAATTATCATTTGTATCAAGTTATCAATTATTGATATTTATCATACAAAATTTGCTTATAATTACCTCAAAAGTGAACTGATTCTGTAATTATTATTTACATCATATGATATACATTAACTTAAACTTCGAGTGCTATATAGAAGAAGACTTTCTCAAGTCTATTTCATAAGTGGTGAGTCAATTGTCGGTGTTATTGTCGTATGTAATAATTAAAGTTAGGCTCAACCGTTCAAGTTCGATGTAAACACTTTTTCCTGTTGCTTCCACAATTATCAACAGAAAATACTTTGTGTCTGTTTTTATTTATTTAATGTATTTTTGCCGGTGATTTATGGGATTTGAGGGTGGAGTTTAATTGTTCTATAGGAAAAACCACTAGATTTAGAGGCAAAAGATGGGAATTTAAGAACAATTTGGATATAATTATTTTTTTTGTTAAAAAAACATCAGATTTAAGTCTAGCTTTCTAAAAAAGAAAGAATTTAAAACAAAAAAGAATTTGGGTGCGGGGCTGTCACGACCCAATTTAGGGTCATGACCGGCACTTAGGAGCAAGTGCTCCCAAGTAAGCCTCATCGATAATTTACAGAAAATCGGACGAATTACGCCTGTTTTAGGACTATCCAAAAAAATAAACCTGTCTTAGAAATCAACAACACAACCAACCTATATCGACCAAACAAGTTATAATCCTCATTCACGAAATATTTCCAACACAATAATACTAACTTCATCTCCAAGTATATGATAGAAAAGTCTAATACGAATCACAAGTCTATATCAATAAAAGAATACCTATGACACTCATAAAAATGACTATGGAGCGACTCTAAGAGTTTCAAGAAAGAGACTATAACAAATAAATAACTTTGCCCACGCGAATAATGCGGGGCTCACCAGGAACTGCCAACTCGTGTACTCTAATTAACGGAATCCTTGCCTGCGTCTACTGTTGTTTCTGTAAAATAATAGCGGGGAGTGAGTCGCTAGCTCAGTGAGTAATAATACTTAACCACAACCGTTTTTAATTACGAACAAGTCAGAAATCAAGCTTGTATAATAATCACAAAATAAAATGCCCTTTTTAAAACAGTAAAAATAATCAGTCTCATCATGTGTTTCCTGCAATAAAATCAATTTAACAATTCAATAATAAACTCGGTAAATACTGTGTCATATCAAATCTTTATCTTTGGGAGGTTACCAGGAAATGATCATGTAATCTGTATCACTCTGTGCACCCCTTCTTAGAGAGGAGTCAAATATAACTGTAGGTCCCTACTCGAGGGAAAACTGTAATTGTATGCTAGTTCTACATTCCCACTAGAAGGGCTCTAACTGTACTCGGTAATCAATAAATACAAGGTGCACCAGGTCTAACGAACCCGCCGTTAGCTACGGGATCCTTCAAAGTCTCCTCCCATTCATATTTTTCTTTGTAAACAGTAAATCTTCACATGGAAGAATTTTCAATACAGTACAGGGCATTTTAATTTTTATCAAATCATGTAATCCAATTTCGGTAACGGTAATCATATCTCTAGTAATAGTAAAACATGTCTAGTAACAGAAAGAACATTTTAAATAACTATAAACATCTCAAGGAAACTATTCAGTACCATATCAAGTAAGAGACTTGTCCCACATGTAATTTCAAACATTCGGTAACATATTTTATTTTTAAAATAATGTATAAACGATGCAGGTTATGAAAATAAAAATTGCGGTAAGATTACTACTCACAGTACTCGCGCCAAAATAACAAACGCGTCAGCTCGAGCACTCGTTCAGCTTCTTCAACTACCTATAATGTTACAGAATAAATCTTGCATCAACTTCGTGAATTGCCAACATAATTTGTCCATTTTTGTCACATTTGATCAATTCCCCTATATCCATTCCTCTGAAATATGATCATTAATTCTCTGTTAATTAATTTAGTATCACTTAATTGGCTAGGAGTTGCATCTTGTTTTTTTTAATCTGTTCTTATTATTTGATTGATACTACTATATATAGAGGACAAGAAGAATTTATTTGTTTGACACAAAAACAGTACTCATGTCACTACTGCATTATGTATTTGTAGCTACGAAACCTTAGCTATGAATTTAAGAATCGTGGCTAATGCCTAGCAATAGCCACAAAAGATAAAATTTTATGGCTATTACCAAAATTGTAAAATTTCTTAGCTACGAACATTTAATTGGCAAAGCTAATTTCTCATATTTGCTATAATTACTAATAATCGTGGCAATAACTATCTAAATAGCTACAAGTTCATTGCTACAATAGAATTTCATAGCTAGTCGTAAGTCTTTGCCACACGTCAAAAGTTACCGTAGCTATAGTAACCTTTTAGCTACAATAAATTATTTGAAACGATATGTTGTAGCTAAACGAATATTTCTGCTTCAAGTTAAAAAAAATTGTGGCAGTAGTTAAATGATATAGCCACAAATTTATTGCTATGGTAGAATTTTGTAGCCAAGCATTAGGTTTTTGCCACGAAATAAAGTTATTATAGCAATAGTAACCTTTTAGCTATAACATATTGTTTAAAACAAAATATTGTAGCTAAATAAATATTTACTGTCTCAAGTTATAAAGAGTTGTGGCAGTATGAGTTAAATTAGCCACAGATTTATTCCTAAGATGGAATTTCCTAACTAGTCATTAGTTTATGAAAAATAATTATAACTATGAAAGTTAGATTTTTACAAAATGATAGAAAAAATATTAAGTGTATAAATTGAAATATTAATTAATTTTCAAATAACAAAAATTAAATTGCAAAAACTAATCTTCAATAATAAATCTTTTTTATGCCTATTTGTGGCCTCAAGACTTAGCAATTGACTTCTTAGTTTTATCAAACTTATATTTTATTGCACCTTCTTATTTTTGGATGTTAATTATGTAAAATTCAAAATTTATAACACTGTAGAGATATTTATGTATGTCTGGACCTTTATTACTTTTAAGTAAGTACTTAGAAAATTTATTATTTAATCACTTTTTTAAGTAAGTCTTCATATATTGAAGACTCTGATAGTTGTGGATGTATCTGTGTATATGGTCCTCAATTACTTTTAATAAGAACCCGGAATGATTTCATATATCTAATAATATATTTTCAAATAATTTCTCATATATTACATTGAAGAACTTTATGATGGTTTTGGTGCATTTAGTTCTGATAAATGACTAAAGGCTCCAAATATATACAAGAACATGGTTAAAACAAAGAAAAAAATTACGATATTAAATCGTGGCAAAAGTTACAATTGATATGGCTACGAATCTATAACTATAATAAGTTTTAAAGCTAATCATATTGATTGTTATGCATTTGAAGTCATCATGGTAATTATAATCTTTTAGCCGCAATAAATTAATTGAAACAAAGATGTTACATATCATCGGGTGAGATCTAGTTACATATATGAGAATTATTAGCCTCCCCCGTGGTATTTAAAACTAATCATATTCTGAAGCTCAATAATATTTAAAACCCAACATATTGGTTGTTATACGCCTATGCTATTGTTTGACAAATATCTTATTTAACTTTTATGCACCAAAAATTATCCATAAAACTCATTTCTCAATTTGTTTATGTTTTAAAAAATAATAAAATTATTTAATTTAAAATATCAAATGATATTTATATCCAATTAATTAAAATATCTAAAAATATATTATAAAAATAATAATGTGGAAGGAGTGAAAAATGGCAGAATAACTAGATTATTTTTTGTTACTGAAAGATGAGTTGGGAACATGTAGAATGTATTAAAGTTCTATCTATAATAAAATATAATTAGTAGATTGTTTATGGCTATTATAAAATTATAAATATAAAAGTATTTGAGTAAGGTTGATATAGGGAGTCGTTGAGATGGACGTTGTTGTAACTAAAAATAATTTTTTTATTTATAAAAGGGTAGAATATAACATTAAAAATCATTTTCAAAAAAAACTTGCATGCTATATTGACATGCTGTTAAATAAGATAACCGTTATATAGAGGTCTAACTGTATATTATAATGTATACTATCATATAAATATTACTTGTGATTTCCATATTTTTACTTTAATTACTACATATTTATGTCTTATTATGTTAATAAGTTATATTTTTAATTGCATAATTATATAATTAGATGTATTAAATTGAAATAACAATATAACTAATATTAAGATAATTTTTAATTACCTAGTTTCTGTTTACTACTAATTTTTAGGAGGGTAATCATGAGTTTAGAATAAGTTTTCCCTCCAAACTTTTTCCCTCTAAGTTTTTTGCCAAAAATCAAAGTCTTAATTTAGAGAGATTAGAGGAGAAAAAAACCCTTCCACTACATATCAAAAGAAAGCCCAAAATCCGAGTAAAGGCACTCTCTCTTTAGCTGCTTCGGCCGCATCATCAAATGCCATCTTCGGCAGTTTTAGTACTCAATGTACAGTTCATACGAACAAGGTGTATGAAATTTATACGGTTGCGATCTAAGTTCCTCGCCGCCCAAAAACCTAACTGGTCAAAGGTAAGAAACTCTTCAAAATTTTCTTCTGGGTAGGTATTATGCATTTTGGTTCGTCGCATACACGGTGGATTGTTTGATGGTGTATTGGTCTAGGATTTACTGTGGGTTTCCATTATTTTTTAGTTTTCTGTAAAATAAAATCCCTGAAGACCAGATCTATACACTGCGTTACCAAACCAGATCTAAATGTGGATCTTTTTCTTCACTTGCCAAAGGTGTGCCGTCTATTTTCCTTTAGAAAGTCATAATCTCGGAGTGTCTTAGAGCACTACTTGAGTGTATTGTTTTGTAATTTATTTACTTTTCAGTTTGAGGCTAAGTTCAAATATTTTACTTGATTATTACATGATAATGTAAGAAGCTTGGTATGTAAAAAGGAAAAAAATTCACATTGTTTCAAATGGTCAGAACTCTAAATTGTCGTTTTTTAGCTCTTTCTTAGTCTATATAATGTTGCAGGTTTATAAGCCATGAAAATATGAGAAAGTTTTAATTGCAAAACAATTAAATCTTGAAATCAGAAACTGCTCTACTTGGTCTGAGTCCATCCAACAGTTGGTTTAACAGCAAGGCAGGGGACATGATGCAAACTATCTGTTTTCCATCTTCCCGTTATAGCTCTTATTTTTTTACCACAATATATGCCTTTTATATTTCAAACTATGAATGTGGAGAAACTGAATGAAGGTCAAAGTCTTTTCTTACTGGAAAAATAGTGGCCTGGGTAAATAGACATGGAATGATTGATTCTATAGATCGAATAGAATTAACTCTGGCTGTGTGAGCTTGCTTAACTCGAATAGAATTAACTTCGGTAGTCGCAGTAATTTGCCTTTAACTCCGGCTGTGTGAGCTTGCTTACAATTATCAGGATACCAATTAGTCTGTATTAAGTCATGTTAATTCGTTTACTTTAGGTACTGTGTTTTCAAGGAATCTTTTAGTCTAGAAATTTGTATACCCGTTTATGGAGAGCTTCTAGCACTACTTTTTATTTGTATTTAGTATAATATTGGAGTAATTCGTATTGCCTAGGGGTGGCAAACGGGCTGGTCGGATATGAGCGGGTCGAAAACGGGCAATTTAGAAAATGAGTAAATTATCCGACCTTACCATATTTAATACGGATAAAAAAACAGGTTATCCGGCAAATAATATGGATATTCATATTATCCATGGCTTCTTGAATATGATCACTTTTGGGAGAATTTCTGGTCTTCCAAACTTGAGGAATCCCCAATTTGAGTCTTGACAAATGTAAAAGTTAATCCATTAGTTATCCATTGGTTATCCATCTGGTCATCTATTTTCTAAGTGGATAATATGGTTCTTATCCATATTCGACCTGTTGCAAAAAAGTTCATTATCCAACCCATTTTTTAATGAATAATATGAGTGGATAACTATTTTCTTTTAACCATTTTGCCACATCTAATATAGCCTATGCCAACTTGGTTACTTGCTTGGAATTGAGGTATAGTTGTTGTTTGTTGTATTTGCAGTAATTGGCCTTCACCACTCTTTCTGTGGTCCTGGCTTTAGAGTACTGACTGTGGACTAAGTTCTCTGGACTATAAAAAAAATGACCACAACTCAAGAGATCATGAGCTTAGCTTAGTATCTTTATTTCCACAGAACAGCTTTACTTTCCACGAAGATAAAATTAGGGAATATGGTTTAATGTTGGGTATATAGGTGGAACTTTGAATTATATGTCTATGTCTTAATGTTGGACACAAACCCTTTAAATTTTTTCAAACTAGTTAGGTTTAGTGGTTTATTATCTGAATATTTTATGGAACTGCACAGGTCAGACTCTAGAACGTTGTAAGACTTTTTCAAAGTAGTTTTAGGTTTGATGGTTTATTATCTCATACTATTTGAAATATCTCATCCACCTGGACAGGAAGACAAGTCCAAGATTCAGATAAGTGGGGGAGCTATAATGTGGCCTGCACTTTACCATAATTAAACATCATGAGGAAACACAATACTTCATTGAGGAATTCAGGTACATATACTAGTCCATCAACACCAGAATATGGAGATAACCATTTTGGAGGATTTCAGAAAGGCTGGAGCTCCGAGCGAGTTCCATTGCTAAATGAATCATATCTTGCATTGGCAAATAGCTGAAAGATTTACAATAAGAAGTATAGATATAAAGTTCTGAGAGAGAGATGTCTACAAGTTCTAAAATTTCAGTGTGTCCCAAAATTCATGCTGACAGTATAATTTTTGATATATAGGATATTCAAATTATCATATGATTATTTTGTTGACTTTTCAGATGGTCTTTGAGGTTATTAAGTTGAATCAAGAAAGGAATGGATTGTAAGCTAGCAAAGTTGGATATATGATGAGAACAAAAATTTCGAAGTCATCCAACTCTAAGTAACTCTCTATCCCATGGTGGGGGTAAGGTATGCGTACATATTACCCTCCCCAATTCCACTTGTAGGATTATACTGGGTTGTTGTTGTTGTTGTTGTTGTTGTTGTTGTTGTTGTTGTTATATATAATCAAATTCTAGAAAATATGTGATTTCTTTAAGGAAAACTTCATATGACAAGTAAACTCTAGTTGTTTTATGTGGACATGCTTCATTCCACCATTTTCTTATAATTATTATTTTTTGAATTGCTATTGCAGCTTATGGAGGAGCAGAGAAAGCATCCAGATCAATTGGGACATGAGTGACTATTTTTTCTCTCTTGTAAAAGTATATTGATATGTTTGAGTAGAGCAACCTTTTACTATTGTAATTTATTTTGAATGATATTGTTGAGCCTTTAGTTATGTCTTGCTAATGTATTGCATTTCTTAAAACAAACTAAAATTCTCTACATATTTGATATTGCATTTATTAAAACAATTGAAGATATTTTGCTATAGTTCTCTACATATAAAAAGCATTGATTCTTAGCTACATTATATAAATTTGTGTGGCTATCAATGTTTGTGGAAAATTCTTTAATTTGTAGCCATGAATTTTTTGAATTTGTAGCTAAACATGTATAAAATTGCCACCAAAAAGAATATAGCTGTACATTTTCTCTTTTTGTAGCAAATGAAGAAAATCTTTTGCTACAATTCTATATATCTCATGGTAAAAAAGGTGAAATCTTAGCTACAAAAAAGATGTTTGTGGCAAAAACTTTAGCCCTAAGCTATGGACTTTTAAATTTGTAGCTAAGCAAACTGTGACGACCCAAAGGGTCATCACCTATTTCCTCATCCATTCCGTGCTTTCGAGGCCTTAAAAATCTCATTTTTTTACTTGCCTCGATTTGCGTGCGCAGTCCGGGCGCGTAGCCGGAAAGCTGTTATGTTGAAATATGTGAATTCCGTGAAAAATTTGAAGAATTTTGATATTAATATGATTATAGTTGATTTTGGTCAAAATTTTTGGTAAACGGACCCGGACCCGAGATTGGACGGTCCCGGAAGGTCCGTAGAAAAATATGGGACTCGGGCATGTGCCCGGAATCGAATTCCGAGGCCTAGAGCCCGAGATATGAATTTTTCCGTGAAATTGTTTTTCTGAAATTATTAAGGAAAATGGAAATGAAAATTGATTAAAAGACTATGGTATCGGGCTCGTATTTTGGTTCCGACGCCCGGTACAAGTCTTAAATATGTGTTAAGCGCTTTCTGTAAAGTTTGGTCGAAATCGGACGTCGTTTGACGTGTTTCGGACTATAAGTTCCAAGTTTGAAAGTTTAGAAGAAAAAATCATGTGTTCTGAGGCTTGATTCAATGATTTTGATGTTATTTTGGCGATTTGATCGCACGAGCAAGTCCGTAGGATGTTTTTGAGGTTGTATGCATGTTTGGTTTGGAGCCCCGAGGGCTCGGGTGAGTTTTGGATAGGCATCGGATTGCATTTCTCATGTTTTAAAAATCTGGTATGCTGGCTTCTGCAATTTTTCGCAGATGCGAAGGGAAGACTCGCAATTGCGAGCTCGCAAATGCGAGCATTGCTTCGCAATTGCGAAGTCTGGGTAAAAGGCTTGGGATCGCAAATGCGATCCATTGGCTCGCAAATGCAAGGTGGCCCTGGTCGCAAATGCGATCGAATGTTCGCAAAAGCGAAACCTGGCCACCAGACATGGGTTCGCAAATGCGAACTAAGAATGTCGCAATTCCCAGCCCTGTTGCAATTCCCATATCCGAGGCCCAGCAAATTTTATACTTAGTCGAATTTTCATCACTTTTCACCATTCTTTCAAAACCCAAACACCATAGGCGATTTTTCAAGAGCAAACTTCATCCCAGATCATTTGTAAGTTGATTTTTACTTAATTCTTTCAACTTTTAACATCATTAAACATGTTTTTCACTTGAAATCAAGGATTTTCATGGGTGAAATTGGGTTTTTGGGTGGAGCCTAGGTTTTCCATAAATTGGGGAGTTGGACCTCGATTTAAGGTCCGATTTCAAAACAAATTATATATTTGAACTCTTGGGGGAATGGGTAACCGGATTTTGGTTCGAACCTCGAGTTTTGACCACGTGGGCTCTGGGGCGATTTTGGAATTTTTGGGAAAAACTTGGGAAACTCATTTTTTATGCATCCAAATTGATTCATATAATGTTTATTAAAATAATTGAGCAATTTGTGATTAGATTCGAGCGAATTGGAGGTGGAACCGCGAGGTAAAGCAATAGTTGAGGATTAAGTGGATTTCAAGGCTTTGAGGTAAGTGTTTGGTTTAACCCTAGCTTGAGGGAATAGGAGTTGGGTCTTGTTGCTAACTGCTATGTGATCGAGTACGATGTATAGGCATGGTGACGAGTATCTATACATTGGTGTCTAGCATGACCGTGAGTCCTTATAATGTGATTATCATGAACTTATTGTGAATTTCATGTTTATTGGAGTATTTCCATATATTGTGAATAACATGTGAATGGTGATATGATAATTTGATTCCTAGGAGCATTGGCTCGAACTGTGATACGAATATTGAAAGTATATGAAATGACTTGATTCATTGAGGAGCGTCAGCTCCAGTTGTAGAACGAACTGCGAAAGTATAAGTGATAATTGAACCTCTGGAGCATCTGCTCGAGTTGTGAAAAAGAATTGTGAAGTAAAAGCGAGAAAGAGGAGAGATCATTATGTTGCCCTCTTGGCGGGCTATTGTTGGGTTGTGATTCCTCTGCATTGTGTTCTTAACGGATACTAGGATCACTCAGGTTAATTTTTCCTTGTGTCATATGATGACTATAGTTATAGATGGGTTGGTTGGGTGTGGTAGTCAGTTAGATATAGCTGAGGTGGTCAAGTGTGGTAATAGGTTGGTTATAGCTGTGGTAGTTAGATGTTGGAACTAATGTGGTGGTTAGATGTTGGAACTAATGTGGTTATAGTAATCCCCTTGCCAGAATATTTGAGATGATGTTTTGTTCCCTTACCGGGAAGTCGTTATATTGTTGTTTGTGACGGAATATGAGATAAGAAATTTCTTGGAGCTTGGGCTCCAGTGATATCGTGAGATAAGAAAAGTAAGAAAGAGAAAACGTTGTTGATTATTCCCTTGCCGGAACGTCTGGTTGAACTTGTTGGATTCTTTCCCTTGCCGGGATGTTTGTCAAATGTTTACTTATTTTTATGCCCCTTAATTGTGACTGTTGTTTGGGGAGTCGGACTGTTAAATGATATTGAGGGTCGGGTTGCACGCCGCAACAATGATATTGAGGATCGGGTTGCACGCCGCAACAATAATATGTGAGGGTCGGGTTGCACGCCGCAACAATGATATTGAGGATCGGGTTGCACGTCGCAACGGTAAAAGGTGAGGATCGGGTTGCGCGCCGCAACAATGATACATGATAAATGATATGGGTCGTGTTGCACGCCGCAACAGTGGTATTTGTGGAGCGGGTTGCACGCCGCAACAATAGTAATTATGGAGCGGGTTGCATGCCGCAACAGCTATCGAGGCTATGTGTTTGTATTTGAGTATTGATTCCTTGTTCATTATGAACCTAAGTTGTTTTAGTTGTTACTCTGGATTGCTGCTAATATTGTATCTCCCGTTAGCATGTCTCCCCTCCCATGTTGTTAATTACTTGGTATTCGATTCCCGCTGTATAGTTATAACTGCACAGGTTTATGTGATGTCCAGTCTAGCCTCGTCACTACTTCGCCGGGGTTAGGCTAGACACTTACCAGCACATGGGGTCGGTTGTGCTGATGCTATACTTCTGTGCATTTTTGCACAGGTCCAGGTTTTGAGGAGCAGCAGCATCAGTAGTTCGGGAGCAGACTTTCCTATTCACGAGACTGAGGTAGCCTTGCAGGCGTCCGCAGGCCCGGCGTCTCTTCTTTATATTTTCCTTGTGACTGTTGCCTCATTGTTTTCGAGACAGACAGCTGTTACATTTCTTTCAGACCTTTGTATTTAGTTTATTCTTAGTGGATCGTGAGTAATGTGACACCAAATCTTGGGTAGAGGCTATTGTTGACTATTCCGCGTTTTGATTCAGACTTATGAATTAGACTTCCGCTATTATTATTATTAAATTTCATGTTCTACATTGATGCTATAAACTGTTAAAAATAATTGCTTAGTGATGGGAAGGTAAATAAGTTGGCGTGCCTAACTACCACGAGTAGGCGCCATCACGACTCCGATGGTGGGAAAATCCGGGTCGTGACACAAACCCATTATTGCCACGGAATTAAACCATAAAAATAGCCACAAAATCTGAATTTGCGTGGCAAACAAGTTATTTCTTTTGCTACAAGATAATATCTCGTGACTACATTATAAATATGGCGACAAATGTTGTTCGCCGTGGCAAAAGAATAAAATAATTTGCTATGAGTATATTTTTGCGTGGCAAAAGACTCTTATCATTATAGCTACAACACCAAAAATATTGTAGCAATAAGTACTAGTCCTTAGCCACGGACCATGTAAAGTCCGAAGCTAACTTTTAGCTACGCTATATTTTACTACGAATGCTACGGAATTTTTTGTTGTGGCTAAAGTGTTTAGCCGTAGAAATTTTCATATTTAACTACAATGTGCTCAGTATAAACTGATAGGTTCTTTGTTCAATCTAATAGGAATTCCATGATTGTGCTATACTGAAACAACTTAAGAAATCCTTTGTTATCTTTATCCTTAATTACAAAACCAATCACTAAAAATAGGCTAGGTATTGAATAAAGGAAATATCAGATAAATTACCAAGGAAAAAAGGGATTAAATTACCTAGCTTGTTCTCCTCCATTCCAAAAATTCCTTCGTTAGAAAGAAGTAAACTCTCTTCTTTTGTTGCCTCCGATCACTTCTGCCGAATTTTAATTGCTTCATACCCTATCCCCTTTTGCTTTAGGTTAGTTACGTAGTGCACTTTGGCACTAATTCTTCTCTTATTTCCCTTAAGGATTGATATTAGCTTCTTCTTTTTTTGTTTTTTTTGTTTGCAGGAGCTTTTATCCTCCATCCCTCCTACCCTCGTTCCTTTTTCCTTGAGATTGCAAGGAATTAAAATATTAACCGTTTTCAATCTCTATAAGATGCCCCACAGTAGTTATCTTTTGGGCTTCGACCCTTTAATGTTTTTTTTTCTTTTTAATTGTTATTTTTTTCTATCTTAATTTACGTACTTTCAAATTACGCTTGTACCCTTATAATGTAAGGTATTACATTATCCCCACCTTATGAAATTCGGTCCTCGAATTTTAAAACAAGTGCATCCCTATAGTCCTAAACAAGTGAGGATACTTCGCTTGCATATCTTCTTCTACCTCCCAAGTAGATTCCTCGATGATACGGTTTCTCCACAAGAATTTAATGAATATAATTTCTTTTTGACCGTAGTTGTATTACTTGACTATCGATAATAGCTACCGACTCCTCCTCATAAGATAC